AAGACCTAAGTTCAGACCCTGCCTCAGTTTATGCATCAGTAAATTGGGGATAATAAAAGCACCTGTCCCACAGAGTTCTTGCAAGGACCAAAGGAGATAATCACATAGGTTAAGCACTTTGCAAATCTTAAAGCCCTATATAAAAGTGAGCATTTATTATTGTGGATTCATTGATTGCTATTTGGAATGCTTTTTCCCAGAAAAATGATGCTATACTACATGGTAGTTAGTTTCCCATGCCAGATCCCCCAAATCTACCTTATTTAACCCTACAACATACCTTGAATATAAATCTATAAACAATACTCAATCACCTTGGGAATTAATGTTTCTATGGGGAAAGTACTTGGAGGGCTGATGTGGGATTGCACTCCCACATCTCCACTGTTGTCCCTCACTCAGATCCAATTCAGTTGCAAGTCATGTCATCATCTTCCTGAGGTCATGGTCATCTTTGAGGACAAAGGACAGACCACACACACACAACTCCATTATTGGAGCACCAGCAGTGAGAGATTTCAAGTTACTCAAGTGTCCTTCTTTGTTCTGGAAGAATGGGAATCGTTGCAGAGGAGTGTGACGAGGCGCTGGAGGCTCTAGAGAAGAGGGGTCTGAGACTGGATAGGGTCTTGAGGAGAGGGCCAAGGAGAGGGCCTAAGTTTTTCCTTCCCCTCCCTCTGCTGCTAAAGGCAGAGTACTGGACCTGGAATAAGGAAGACCCACATTCAAATCCTGCCTCACATGCTTGCTAGCATGTGTGACCCTGAACAAGTCATTTAACCTGTTTGCCTTAGTTTCCTCAACTGTAAAATGGGGATTGTAATAGCACCTTCCTTGCAGGGTGGTTGCGACGTTTAAATGACATTTCTAAAGTGCTTAGCGCAGAGCTTGGCCCATAGTAGGCACTCAATATGTTTCGTTCCTTCCTGTGTGGGATTCACAGTACTGAAATGTCATTTTCTCTTAGTTTCTAGTCTTCTTGCTTGGTTTCTGGAACAGTTAGAAGCAGAGATAAGACCTTGGTGGTGAATAGCAAGAGTTCCCTTAATGAAAGAATAAGACTTTTCTTCCTTTCTTTTTTTTTCCTGTTAACCACAGTGGACCTTGCTGTGGATGTGGTAAAAACATCAGGAATTTGTAGGGACCGGAGCTCATGGCAACACAAAGCAGCTTTGCCTCCCCCATTTGCCCCTAATAGCAATAGCAGATGTTTATGTACACATTCCCTCATTTTGTTCCTCAAAACACATTCTCTGAGATAGGGCAACATTTTTTTTAATCTACTCTTGTTTACAGGTGAGGAAATTGAAGTTAGACATGAGGTTAAATTATTTGCTTAATGTTATGCAAGGAGGAAGAGTTAGGATTGAGACTTAAACCCAGGTCTTCTGATGTTAAAGCTGTTTTCCACTCCAGCATCTTGTTTCTTCCCCTCCTTCCCCCACCCATCCTGCTAGCTGCCTGCCCTTGACTAATTGCCAATCCTGGGGGAGTCTGAGAAATGGGTTCCAGGGCAGCTAGGTGGCAGAGTGGGTAGAGCCCCAGCCCTGAAGTCAGGAAGACCTGAGTTCAAATCTGGCCTCAGACCAAACACTTAACACTTACTAGCTGTGTGACCCTGGGCAAATCACTTAACCCCAAATTGCCTACAAAGTTAGAAAAAAAAAAGAAATGGGTTCCAATGCTACTTTGGAAGAAGTATGGAAGGGGATTTTTTATGGCTAGTCTTTGACTGAGTCAGGCATACAGAAGACAATTAAATGAATATATTTGATACCATTCTACCTGTTTAGAATTATCATTTAGGCTTCATTAAATTTATCAGCCTCAATAAAAGCATATAGTAAAGCTTCTGTCATCTTCCCTGTAGAGTATGGCTTCTTAACTTGGAGCCCATAAACTTGATTTTGTTTTTGAAAATAATAGTTTGATTGCTCTATTTGATCATAATTGGTTTCCTTAGTAATAATAATGATAATGACAAATAATAATAGCTAGTATTTATGTACTGCCTTACCATAGCGTAACCACTGTAGGAGTTAGATGCTAGTATTATCTCTTTTTTACAGATGAGAAAACAGAGACAGGCAGAGGTTAAGTGACATACCTAGGGCCATACAGGTAATCTTATCTGAGGCTAGATTTGAACTCAGATCTTCTTGACTATAGGTACCATGCTCTCTCCACTGTGCAACGTAGCTGACCTTAATAAGTAATCTTATATATTTTATTTTATGCTTTTAAAAAACCATTCTGAGAAGCGATCCACACAGATTTTATCAGACTGTTAGAAGGGTCCTTGATACAAAAATGGTTAAGAATATTTGAGAGTTTCATTTGCCCTATAGAAAGCTTAATTAGTAAATACGCTTTTTTTTTCAATAGTACAAGAACATTCTGTAGTGACTAGCACACTAGATTTTGAGTCAAGACTTATGGTTAGTCCTGGCTTTGTCCCTAATTATTAAACTTTGAACATGTAACTTCCTTCTCTAGGTATCAGTTTCTTTATCTGTACATTAGGGAGTTAGTTGGACTACATAATTTCCTTTAAGGCCACGTCTATCTCTGAAATGGTAAAATTTTCTGATTTCAGCAGCTCGAAAGTAATATTGGGTAGGGAACAAGAAGAAAGAATAGCAAACAAAGGATAGAGGAAAAGTATCTAGGTATCTTAAATTTAGCATTTATTCAGCATTTACTGAATGCCTGTTCTATGCAAAGAACCCCTGTGCTATATATATAAACTGTGTAACAATAACAGAAAAACAGCATTTCAGTTGATGTCACTATTTCATAAAGCCTTCTTTAGGGAAGGGCTTCTTTCTCTGATCCTTACCAGAATTGTACTGGAGCCAACTCATACCCATTTGTGAGAGCTGATTGTTAAATTATCAGTGTCAACATTTACCCTTCAGAAATTGGCAAATACTACAGATTAAGGCTTCATGTATTGTTCTGTTGAATGCCCAAACTTAAAGTGATGGAGAAAATGTTAATACTGCAGATGAAACTTTGAAGTGTGCCATGTGTACATTTTTTTATTTTTGGAGAACTGGTTGTTAAATATACCAGCATACCCCTATCCTTATCCTTCCATGTGGTGACTGACGTGGTTAAAAGGGTTTGGAGAAAGGGTAAAGTAGACACAAAGTAGTTCACAGGCTTTGAATGTGCTACTACTCTCTCCATTAGGGAAAGTGGAATCTGCTCATATTTCTTTGGGGAAGGAGAAAACGCGAAGTCCTTAACCTGGGGTTCACAGGACCTCGGAGGGGTCCATTGATAAATTTTAAGGGGTTCCTAAACTCAGATGGCAAAATTATTTTCTGTAACTTGCAACTGAAATTTAGCATTTCCTGTTTAATCAAAAACGTTATTCTGAGAAGGAATCCATACATGATATGAGAAAGGCTAAGAATCTTTGGTGTAAGGCTATTCCGTCAGTCTGGATATTTATGCTAACTATATGACTTTAAGCCCTGGCTTCAGGTATGCAAGCTTCTTCAATCTGATTTACCCCTTTGTTCCTCACAGAAAGATTCCAGGAACATTGGATTGTAAGGAAACAGTGTGAGAAGGAATCAGACAGCTGAAGATCCTTAGATAGATGTGGGCCAAGGTTACACAAAACTCTTGTGTGGTCAGGAGCCACAGGGAGGCTGGGAACATTGTCAGCACGGGGTTTGAGCAGCTCACAGATGGAAGTGACATTTTAACCAGTCTCTCAGTTTTATTAGATAAGTTTTATGTGTTCTCTCATGTCAGGGATGAGGGTGGAGCTTAAAAGCTTTTTCAACATGTACCATACACAGTGGATCCAAAGAATATGTTCATTTTTTCCTTGCTTTTCACCTTAGCAAATAGTAAATCCATCTGTATGATGGGGTGGAGACCCTTTCTCACCATGCTGAAAAACGTACAGCTTTTCATGGCTTCAAACAGGGAACCCCACTAAGCAATGCTGCCCTCAACACTAAACCGAGTGGGTTTTGTTTTTTTGGTAATCTCCCAACACATTTTCACTAATTGTCTTAGCCCTCTTAGAGTTACAGAATAGTTTCAAGCCATTTAAACCTGAGAAATTAACCAAGAAATTGAATAAAGTTGTGAAGGCATTTTTAGCACATAGAATCCTCCAAGGAAAAAGGAAGGAAAGAATAAATACATGTCCCACATCTGAATGGAAAAAAGCAAATGTTATTTATTTGCCTTAACAATACTTGAACTAATTTCAAGTAATGTTCTTCCCTAGAGCCTTGGCATGAGTTTGGGGGCTATGCTATTTAGTCAGGTCCTACCAAGTGGAATAGTTTGAGTACGTACCAAGCAATGGGGACTGCATGGTTGCCTTCCAAGGCAGAGCCCAGATCTTTGGGGGAGGGTCATCATCAGAAGATGGGCTGCCATGCACGGTGGTGAGTCCTGGGCCACAGCTTAGGTTTCTTATCTGTGTCCATGGTGGGAATAGGTACATCATTCATATCATGGATTTTTTTTTTAAGTTTTGAACTTATATAGGGCTAAATTTTTGAACTTATAAGGGCTAAAATTTGACCCAAAGATCAGACTGAAAATGTACTCTCGGGAGTGCACTGAGGATCCCAATTTGGTAGTATTTAACTCTTTACACACCAGCCTGAAACGAAGACATTATGCATGTATATTTATGTGTGTGTATTTAAAAAAATCCATCTGATGTCTGTCTAGCACGTGACATCTTGAAGTTGTTTCCTTGAGTTAAAAAAATCCAACTGTGTGTTCAGCCATATGAAATCTTTTAGCCCATTTAACGTGCTAGTATTATAACATGTTGACTCGTGAAAACTTCTGGAATCTATTTTGAAGAAGCATATGTGAGTAATCAAGTTGGGGTAGTTTATTGATCTGACATTACGAACCAACAGAGAAAGTCCATTAAATACATCATTCTCTCTTCCTCTGGCACTCGATATGTAATTATTTATGTGAAACCTTTTTTTTTTTAAATATTCCTCCAGTACCCGTGAGAGCCTGGCTTCCAACACTTCCAGCATTGTTGAAAGTAACCGTCGTCAAAACCCAACCCTGAGCCCCGCGCACATGGGCGCTGCTCCAACATTCAGCTTCCGCACAAGTACAGACCCCTCAGCAAATGAAGCCGAGAAGTTGCCGAAACCCAATTGCTTGCAAGCTTCTGTTACTAGTGTGTGATAGTCATTCTGCCTCCTCCAATCTTCTGTCTCATCCTGTATGGCGAAGTTTACGACATTGGGACTGATGTTTACATCTTTGGGAAGACAAGCATCTCCACCACAGTTTTGGTGTTTACTTAAACTGTGCTGCTAAGTAGGCTAGGACAAAAAAACAAAAAACAAAAAAAAAAACAAAAAAAAATCTTAATTTCCAAGTATTGTTTTTCACGTTTATGGCTTTGTAGCAACAGACTAGCCCAGTAGAGGTAATGTGTATACTTTTGCTTAATTGATCATAACTGAGCACATAGGTCAGAGTCTAGCCACTGTAGGTGTTAGCTGCATTTTTTGGTGTCACGCGGTTGCTAATTCCATTTACAAATGCCACAGATGTGTGGTAATGCTCCTAGTCCATGGTTGAACGGTGCCACAGAACTGATCCTTCATACTTGCCACCGCAGAAAGCATAAAATAAAAGGCACAGGTCACCTTGAGGAAACACAATGGCCCAACCCTACTAGAAAGAAAGGACCTCAGCCCTTCTCTGTCTGTGAATTATTTAGACACCCATCATTTTCACTGTGAGTTCTCATGACACACTTTTGGCAGGAGCCCTTGGAAGTGAGTCAGAAGGGATTGTCTTCAGATTAATGGGTGTGTTTTGTTTTGTCTTGGTAAATATCAGATGCTTGTCTGATTCTTTCCTTTTCATAACTACAAACAGGAAGATAGGCCTTTGAATTTGAAGTGGACAAAGGAAGGGGGAATTACCAGCTTGGCTTAGCGAGAGCACTAAGTGATGGAAGAGGTCATGTGGATTTTTTGTTTCTAAATATCAAATCATGTATCTTAGGGAGGTCATTTTATTCTTGTGATACTTATGATGTTCCTAGTTTAATATAATAGAGGAAATAACTAATTTGTTTAAATGAAAAGCAATTTCTTTGTGATACAAATGAAGAGTATGGCCTGAGGAGTTTATTTCTTTCTAATGGAAGGACATAATTCTATTTTATGGAGTTTTAAATAGAATGCCTAAATTAGGCTGTGGGAAATAATCTTTAGTGGTTATATGGAAGAGCAAATTTAGGGAGAGTTGAAATTCAGGCCTTTGATTCCTGGAAAGATGTTTGTGGACATATGAAAATATGATTTGAGTGGAAATAGAATTGTGCCCATGTAATGAAGAGCAGGAGGCCCTCATTCTACAGGTGTGGCATATACATAATTTGTACTCCCCTAAAATTTCCCAGAATAATTATGCATATATGAACTATGCCAGAGTAATGTTTACAGATACATTGTACCAACTTTCAGGAGTCACTCTTAGGTAGGCTTATAGATATCATTAGCCCATATTGTTCCCACAAATGGTTTGTTAATATTTTGCTTTTGTTTCTAGTTTAAGGCATTAAAGATGCCTTTCCACAGCTTAGGGATAATTACCAAGATAGCAAATTTTCAGTCTCAAAATAAGATGGTATTTGAAAAATTCCTAGATTTTTATTGGAACGGCACATGAAATATGTAGATGACAAAAAAATGATTTAAAAAAAAATGCAATGTGAGATGCCAGGCAGTGCTATATAACACTATGAAGATTCTCTTTGTGATGGGTTCATTTTGTTTTGTTTTTGGTCAGCCAGGTATTATAAATGAATTACACATTTAACTGTAAATGTAAACTGCAGTTTCATCTCAGATTTTGTTAGCAGGTATAACATTTTTTGAATCCCCAGGAATCACAGAAATCTGTGCAGTCTTATTATATTTTAATGGTTGTTTGCAATTTATAGATTCCCCTCCCCCAACCCCTCCAAATTGCTTTAGAACTTGAAACACTTGGGGACTTTCTAATTCCTTTGCAGATATTTCAGAGGCACATGGGTCAAATTCCTTATTTTTGGTATTGGGAATTCCTTTTTATGTTGCAAATAGACATTCCCTTGCATTTCTGAGTAGACTCCTAAACCAGTGGGCCTTCACCCTCATGCCTTATTTCCTCTATGGCATGCCATGTCTGCTCAGAAATGCGTTGTTTGCCTCATTGTTTAAATATGTGCAGAAGGAAAGATAATGTATCTAATAGACTCCAGAGTCCATTTCTTTGGGGAATTGTATACCATACGGTTACTAAATTTTCCACATAAATTCATTTTTAAAAAAACCCCACATACTTTGAAGTTTATATCATGCTATTGTGATTTCATCTGAAAATAACCACTATAAAAATCAGATAGTATATGAACAGAAAAGGAAAAATATCACTTATTTAAGAGAAACTTTTTAAAATAAAAATTTGTCAAGCGTTAGACAAGAAGTTAACAGTCTAGTGAAACCTATACACTGCCAGATAAATGGTGTATATGATTTCAAAAAACTCTCATAGACCAGCAGTCATTAGTATTGAAATTACAGACTTTTTAAAAAATGGAATGTAAACAGGAGTTTCAAAAAGAAACATTCTCATCTGTATTTAATTTTTACTCTTGGAAAAATGGTATCTTAAGGCTGTTCTGTCTTGAGGTTTTTGGTGACCAAATGCTTGGGCCTCTCTCCAAGAGTTTCTGATACCATCATACTCCTTCCATGAGATTAGAGCTTTCTGTTATGGTTTCTTATCTGGTCTTCTCTTTTTGTATATCGACTAAAAGGTTTACAGAACTGAGTTAGGTTGAATCTCTCTGTGTGTTCAACTTTTAAAAGGTCAACACATCTGTCAGTATTTTGCACATTTAATATGTATTATTATAATACAACATATTACTTTATGGTAATTTTTATTTTCACATATAACTACCTCCATGAATTCAATGAAATGGCAGCAGTGTGTTCAAGGGTATTATAAAAAGCAAGGTTAAAATTTTCTGAAGCATCGGGTCACGATATTCTCTCTGTGTGTTGACACATGTTTAAAGTCACTGTTTCCCTCCCACTTTCATGATTCCTTTTTTACTGTGTTTGGCTTTTCAGATTCAGTCTTTGTATTTCTCCTCAAGAAAGCTCACTTGGGTGTTTTTAGTTGTTCATATCAAGAGAACACTTAAAATTTTTGTCTCTTTTCCCCATCCCTGCTCAATTTTTTTTTCCTGGTAGATAGTTCGTAAGTGTGATTTAGCAGGCTATTTGCACTGATTAGAGTTTTAGGTTTTCTAAGGCAAAGAATACACACCAGATATTTGAACTGCCGACTTTGAAGCACTTTGGGCCCCAATCTGCCTTCACTTGCATGCTAACATATCAAGTCAAATTTTCACTTTACTTGAGAGAGCTATGTTGTACATTCCATTCTCACTATCTGTCTCATTCTCTCTGTTTCTCTCTCCCTTGCTCTCCCCCACTACCACTCTTCTTTCTCAGCTGTTCACTTTCTGTCTAGACCATGCACAATATGCCATTTTCTATTCTGTGCACATCTCAGGGTACCTTAATGAGTAGATTAAGAAGGGGGTGCCATCCTATCAAGACATGAGCAAAAGAGCCAAAATAGAGGTAGCTGGAGGAGGAAGGGAGAACAAATCATCATAAAGTCCAGAAATCAAAAGCTAAGCTGTACATTAGCTGTTCTCAAATCCTTCTTTTTCATAACCAGCATTTAAAAGAATTTTTTTTCCATAGACAGTACCAAGGGAGGGACTGTGAATACCATCCTCTTTCAGTTTGGCACAGCAAATGTAAAAAGAAAAAGTCTACCTGGGGGGTAAACCACTTCTTACCACAAAGTGTACTTGAAAATAAAGTTTTTAACTTAAATCATATAAACATTGCTCAAAGTAATAACACTTTTCCTGATGTGTCTCACAAAGGCAGCATTTGGAGCCTACTAAAAATAATGATTGACAAGAACACAGTTCCCCTTGGATCTCAAAGTGCTTCCAATGTATCCAGATTCACTAATGCCAAACAAACAAAAAATAGTGGGTGCTCTTTATTATAACACCTATTTGGGAAAAAAAGATCAGGTAGTGAGACTTGAGATCATCCTCAGGGGCAGCTATTGATTATTGATTATGTCTTTTCTGTTGGATTGATAGGCCATCGTGAGACGGAATGATTTTTTCCCCTCCCTATAAAGGGAATAATAAATGTCAATTTATTATTGTTAAGTGTCAATAAAGAGAAAATAAATAATACTTTACATTGTCCATTTTTACTTAGAAATTTCAGGGTTTTTTATGAATTTGATATCATCCCCTCAGCTTATAGAATGTGAGGCAAAACTACAGACAAATTAATTGACACCCCTCCCCAAATATCCCACTTGAACTAATGGTAGTTCTAGACATACTCCCTCATCTATGATTTTTATATTAAACTTCTGCATCCTCTATGCCACAATGACATTCTTCAGGAATAAGGCTGTCTCGGCAGTAGAAGGTGCTCAATATACATTAATTAAAAACTTTATCAAGTACTTTTTACAGGGCTGTTGGGCACAAAGGAGAATCCGTACAATCCATTTGTGCCTATTCTTTTGGAGGATTTGGATTACTGAAGGCACCTGGTCTTGTTATCCTCATCCTCTAAAAGAGGAGATATAAAAACAGCCTTAACAGCTACATGCTCCTCAAATTCCAATTAACTAGTTGACAGAGCTGTCCAATGTGCTATCATACTTGGGAGCACCCAGAGCACAGCATTCCCTTTGTTGACCACGTCCAGTACCATCTTGCCTGCTAACACAAAACAGCCTATACCTACTCTTCTTCTGTCTGTAAGTGGCTCTTCTCTGCACGTTAGGTTTAGGGGAACCTAAATATATTGAAAACACATATATGGTTTTGAGAGACATTACCTGGCTTTGGTTCAATAAGGTGTTGGGCTGAATAGAGATGAATATCAAATGCCTTTGCCGAGTGAATAAATAAATACTTTCAACTGGCTGGGAACTGACGATTGACATTCCCCATTCTTCTTCCTTAAGAAAGCTTTACAGTGTTAAGAATGCATTCAGTATTCTTATTTTTCTGGGAGATTTTTATTTAGGAGATACTCCTTCAACTTTACACTTTTAAAAAAACTCCATGGTTGAGTTCCACTTTTATAGTTGAATGAGGGACTGAAATCTCCTAAGCCGAGTTGGTTGAAGTTGTCTTTTGCAGCAGCATCCTGATGGACAGATGCCATAGCTTTTCCAAATAATCTTGGGTCTCTACAATGTCTGTATAGATTGCCATGGGTCATTTGGAATTCTACTGGAATTCTAGAAGGCTGAGGTGGATTACAAATATGATTTAGATTTGAAAATTAAATTTTCTTCTAATAGCTATAGATACACATACACACACATACACACCCATTACAGGGCTTTAATATTTTGGCTTCGGATATGAACATCTACCACCATACCAGCTGAAGGCAGGGGATGTTTCCCAAGTGGTGACTGGAGGAGGTGAGGAAACCATGGAATTCCAGACTAATTCTGCTCACTCCCTGCCTCCCCATTCCAAGGGCTGACCTCAGTGCCCCCATTCCTTTACTGCTCCCACCAAAAAGAGGTACCAAATTCTGGGATCTTGTGAAGATCTCACCTGATTTACATCCATCCTTTGCAGTTAGATGAAAGAAACATTGAAGTGCACACTCGACAAATCCTCCCGTTCCTATCCCCCCTGTGTCCTGTCCCCCCTTCCATTTCCACCTAGATGCTGATACACCACCACATGTTTCCACATTGGAAGGGCAGACTAATGTGCAGTATTGTGCATGCATGCTGGGTTAGGGGATAGAGCCACCCTAAGGTCACCTCCATGTAAGTATGACAGCTCTAAAGAAGGTCCTTAGAGTAGTTGGCATAGCTATTACTTTAGAGATGAGACTTCAGTTTAAATACTAACTTTAAGGGATCATAATTCTGCAGGTATCTTTCCCTGAGTGACTGAATGTGACTGTTGCATTAGGTTAAATGAGTTAAGAAACGCAAGTGGGATTTACTGTATGTTAGAAGGGAGTTTTGCAGCCAAGACTGCCTTGAATAAATGTGTTTGCACTGAAAAAAAATTTTTAAAAATTTACTTGGTCTCTGGTTGCTGTAAAGGTCATCCAAGATGGATGTTCTGTTTATATTGTATAGTATTTCATATGAAATAATTACAGCTCATGAAATGTCTTCCCTAATGTTACTGATTTATAACAGCACATTTGTAACATGGTTTTTATTGTGTCTGTGTATCATATTGTAAATGATGATTACTTGTCATGCTTAGTATAATAACTTAAAAGGAAAAAAAGGACAGGGATTTTTGTAAGTCTATATTTGAAAGTCCCTCCACATGGTAATATTGTGTTCATGTTGTTTATGTAGTGTCGTGTGAAATATCCATTTTGGATCGTGTTACTTTTTAAGATATTAAATAACATTTGGTTATATGTCTAAGTGGATTTTTTTTTATTCGAGAGAAAATATTCTAAGTGATTCTAATTGTTTGTCCCCTAAATTGAGACAGTTTTTGACAACAGATACACATCTCAGAACATTTACCATGGTTGGCCATTTCTTCTTAGAGGAGGGGGAGGGAGAGAATTCTTACATGAGGAATTTCATATTTTGCATATCAAAAACAGGGACAGGGGAAAGGAAAAAGGAAAGAAGAGAGAGAAAAATGGAATGCTACAAGTTAGTGATTTCTGTAAGAATTCTTGCAGATAAACTTCTTTAAAACATTTGAATCAATATTTTGAATCAAATATTTGAATCAATTTGAATGTGAACATTAGTGAATCTAAGAAGTACCCAGAATTGAGTTCTAATTTGAGATATGACTATAAAGTAATATCTAGTTTTTAAAAATCAGACAGAGCAGAAAATGTACATTCAAATGTCAAAGCAGTCATTAGGGGGACTCTGAGTGTGTCTTTGTACAGTGTGGTATTATATATGATATATGTACATACACACACACACACACACCACACACACACATATATATATATGCACAGTGGATAGGGTGCCTTACTTGGAAGTCAGGAAGATCTGGATTTGGAACCTTTTGGACACTTCCTAGCTATATGACCCTGGGTAGATCACTTTGAACTTCTTTTCCCCCTCAGTTTTCTCGTCTTCAAAATGGTGATAATAATAGCACATACTCCACAGGTGAGGATTGAATGAGATAACATATGTAAAACACTTTGCCAATTTGAAGGTGCCATCGAAGTACTGCCTATTTTAGAAATTTACGCACAAGTAAGCTCACGTATGCATATCTTATTCCAATAATTCCACTGTCTCAAACATCTTAGTTGGAGTTGAAAATACAGATTATTTGGACAATGGCAAAGGTTCACTTGGCAAAATGTTTTTGAAAGAGGTTATGACTAATGAGTTATAATTTTAAAGGAAAAGAGAGGTGGCATGGCAGGAGCATTAAAGGCTGTTCTGTGTATATTAGACAGCTTAAATAAACCCAAGAAGGAAGCAGAGAAGGTGAAAGATGGGACTGGGGGCCTTAAGAAAATATTTAAATAATGAAGCAAGTTCAGGGTTTTTGCTTTTTTTTAAGTCAAATAGTATACGTGACTAGACAGATATGATGATGGAGCTATTTTCTGAAGAGCTTTTAAAGCAATAATTAAGGGTGGGATGGGAAGTAGGAGCCAAGATGGCAGAGTGACACCAACATTCTCCCCACGCTCTCTCAAAACACCCTTCCACAACAACTTAAGAAAACCCACCAAACTGAATTCTGAGTGGAAAAGCCAGCCAGAAGTCTCAATGAGTTTTTTTTTCCAGCCCAGAGCAGCTTAGGAAGACCAAAAAACCCCCAAAAAACCAGATCTGTAGACACTAGGGTGAGGGCTGGGGAGCAGTACCCCATGCCAGAAGTAGCAGTGCCAGGAGCAGATCGGGAACCAAGAATGTTAAGGGAAGTGAACATGCCGTCAGATAGAGATCCCTAGGGACACCTGTTCTAGCACTGGGAGCAGGGTTTGGTGCCATTTAGTAGCTCTGTCATCTATTCCAGGTCACAATTCCAGGGTAGAAAGGAGCAGTGGTGATTGTGAGGGAGCAGGGGTACTACCTGCATAAAAAGGAGTAGAGCACAGACCAGGAGAGCATCAATAAGACCTCTCCCCAGATCACGCTGCTTTGGAAGCATGGAAAACTACAGGCTCCCGCTGAGCTGTGAAAACAGCAGAAGGACAGAAATGGCAGAAGCTCAAGTGAGACACTGCCCTACTCTCCCCACCTCCCTCCCCACACCCCCGAAGTGAGCAGAGCCTAACTCTAACAAATTCCAAAGTCAAGAAATAGGCTGGAAAATGAACAAACAACAACAAAAGAACTTGACCATAAAAAGTTACTATGGTGGCAGTAAAACTCAAGATAAAAACTCAAAGGATGACAATGTCATGAAAACATCTGCGAACAAAGCCTTAAAGGAAAAATTCATGTTGGACACAAGCCCAACAAGAATTCCTGGAGAAGCTAAGGAAAGAGATTTTTAAATAAAAATTATTTTAAAAATCAAATAACATGGTAAAAGAAAAATTGGGGAAAGAAATTAGAGCAATACAAAAAAAAATATGAAAAAAGAATCAACCTCTTGATAAAAGAGGCACAAAAATACACTGAAGAAAACAACTTCTTAAAAATCTGAATTGGCCAAATGGTAAAAGAGGTACAAAACTTCATTGAAGAAAATAACTCCTTAAAAATTAGTAATGTGCAAGTGGAAGTTAATGACATGAGATATCAGGAAACAATAAAACATAGTCAAAAGAATAAAAAAATAGAAGAAAATATGAAATATCTCATAGGAAAAAGTGACCTGGAACACATCAAGGCAAGATAGTTTAAGAATTATTGGTCTAACTGAAAGCCATGAACAGAAAAAGAGCCTTGACGTCATATTTCAAGAAATTATCAAGGGAAAACTGCCAAGATATCTTAGAACTAGAGGGGAAAGGAGAAGTTGAAAGAATCCACTGATCACCTCCTTTTGGGAAACAGATCCTAAAATAAAAACTCCCAGGAATATTATAGCCAAAAGCCAGAGCTCCTAGGTCAAGGAGAAAATACTGAAAGCAGCCTGAAACAAACAATTCTAATACCATGAAGCCAGTCAGGAATGCACAGGATTTAGCAATTATCACTAAAAAGGAGTAGAGGACTTGGAATATGATATTCTAGAAGCCAAACAAGTTAGGATTACAATGAAGAATAGCCTACTCTCCAAAACTGAATATAATCATACTGGAGGTGGGAGGAAATGGACCTTTAATCAAATACTTTTTCCAAGTATTCCTGATGAAAAAAACCACACCAGCTGAATAGGAAATTTGACATTCAAACACAATAGAATAAAAAGATAAGTATGAATGAGAAAACGTAAGGAACTTACCAAGACTAAACTGTTCATATTCTTATAAGGAAAGATGATATATCTAAACCCTAAGAACATTATCAACCTTAGGGCAATTGAAAGGAATCTAATTAGAGGGCATGGGTGTGAATCTTGTTGAGATGATCTCAGAAAGGAATAGAAAGGTGAGAAAGAGGGATACACTGGGAAAAGGGGAAAGGGAGAGGAAGAATGGGGAAATTATCTCATAAAAGAGGTACACAGAGTTTTTACAATGGAGGGGGAAATAGGGTGGAGGAAGTGGACAATGTTTGAATCTCTCATCTGAACTGGTTCAAGAAGGGAAGTATACATGCACAGCTGAGGATAGAAATTCAGCTTACTCAATAGGGAAGTAGAAGGGGAAGATGCAAAGGGTTAGGGGGTGGGGTGATAAAAGGGAGGGTTGGTTAAGGGAGGCAATCATCAGGAGGCAAAACAGGCCTTTAAAGAGAAGACAGTAAAAAGAGAAGGCTAAATTGAAGAGAATAGAATGGGGGTAGATATGCATTTAGTAATCATAACTGTGAATATGAATGGGATGAACTCACCCATCAAGTGGAAGAGTATAGCAGAATGGATTAGAAACCAAAATCCAACATATGTTGTTTACAAGAGACCCACTTGGAACACAAAGACACTCACAGAGTTAAAATAATGGTCTGGAACATAATCTGTTATCTTTTGGCTGTAGTAAAAAAGGCAAGGGTAGCTATCATGGTCTTAGGCAAAGCAAAAGTGATAATAGATGTAATTAAAAGAGATAATCAGGGAAACTACATTTTGCTAAAATGTGTCATAGACAATGAAATTAATATCACTACTGAACATATATGCACCAAATGGCATAGCATCCAAATTCTTGAAGGAAAAGTTAAATGAGTTACAGGGGGAAATAGTAAAACTGTGCTACTTTAAGGAAAAATTAATTCCAATACTAAATAAACTATTTGAAGAAATATGTAAAGGAGAAATACTATCATATTTCTTCTATGATGCAAACATAGTTTTAATAATAAAACCAGGAAGAACAGAGAAAGAAAACTATAGACCAATTTCTCTAATGATTATTGATGCAAAAATTTAAATAAAATGCCAGCAAAGAGATTACAACAATTACAACAATATCATAAAGATAATACATGATGACCAGACTGGATTTATACCAGGAATGCAGGACTGGTTCAATATTAGGAAACTATAGGCATAATTTACTATATAAATAACAAAAATCACATGATTATACCAATAGATAGCCAAAATACAATATCCATTCTAATTAAAAAGACCAGAGCAGAGGAATAAATGGAGCTTTTCATAAAATGATAAATAGTATCTATCTAAAATCAAGGACAAACACAATTTATAATTGGGATAAATTAGAAATCTTCATAATAAGATCAGGAGTGAATCAAGGATGTCCGTTATCAATAACAAAAATAACAAAACTAATATGATTATATAAATAAATGCAGAAAAAGTTTTGACAAAATATAACACCTATTCCTAAAGCACAGGAATAAATGGAGCCTTTCCTAAAATAATGAGTTTGTTTCTGTCTAAAACCAAGAACAAGTGTCTTAATGGGGGATAAACTAGAAAACCTTTCTAATAAGATCAAGAGTGAAGCAAGGGTGTCTTATCACCATTATTATTCAGTAATGTACAAGAAATGTTAGCTGTAGCAATAAGATAAGAAAAAGAAATAAAAGGAATAAGCATAGGCAATGAGGAAATGAAACTATCACTCTTTGCAGATATGTTTATATACTCAGAGAACCTTAGAGAATAAACTAAAAACAAAAAACAAAAAACTAGTTGAAACAATTAACAACTTTAGCAAAGTTACCCAATACAAAAAATAAGCCCACGAAAATCATCAGCATTTCTATATACTATTAACAAAGCTTAACAAGAAGAGATAGAGAAATTCCACTTAAAATAACTGAAGACAGTATATAATACTTGGATGCCTACCTACTAAGACACACTTGGAATTATATGAACACAATTATGAAAGACTCCACATAAA